TTTTGATCCTTTAATCCTTATATCTCCTCAAATAGTTTATTTGGCTTAATATGATTTTCATGAATCCTAAGATCTAAAGAATTAACTATCCTTGTCAAATTTTTAATTTGAGCTTGTGAAACTGATTCATATATTATGAGATGATATTTTTTTAATATGAAGAGAGAGTTGAGAGAAAGAGCTATAAAGGAGAGTCTGTGAAATTTAAAGTATAGATATAAAAATTATTAAATATTAAGTAAAAAAAGAACTTCGAAGTGAGGGGGGGGGGGGCGGGGGGGGGGGGAGGGGGGGGGGGGGGGGGGGGGGGGTACAAAGACCTCTTATGTTCTAAGATCTTCATAGGTAGTTTAAGCTATTTTGACCTAGTTTTTTTATTTTATTTCAAATATATTAAATTTTATACACATATTTTAATGCATGTAATTTTGAATGCAAGAAAGAAAATTGCTTAGATATATAAGCCAAAGCCCTTATGTTAACAAATTATTTAAATTTTGATAAATAAGCAATTTATTTTATCATTATAGTTAATATAAAAATTAAATAAAGTTATATAAAGTTTTATGCACATCAAAGTCATGTTTTTCATTTCTTAAGGTGGAACACACTCTTATCGAAATTTACACTCAAGAAAAAAATTGATAGGTAGGTTCACATTATAATATTAGCTATGCTTTATGGTGGAGCTCATTAATTGCATCTGATGAGCACATTATAGACTTACAAAATAATATACTATATATTCAAGCTATTAGTATAAAATAAATCTATTATATAAATGGTTTACTAAACCCAAATTTACTGGAGTAACTCTTAAGCTTTTGGAGATATGCCCACTATAAGAAAATTCTTTTAAGTTATTCAGAAGTTCTAGCCAATGGGCTTCTTTCCAAGTTAGCTCTAATATCAAATATGATGGTGGTAGGTAGCCTTTTGTTGAGATTAATGGTTAGAAAAGATAGTAGATTATTAATTTAATATTTAGAGAAGTACTCTGGAGTTTTTGATAAAATGATGAAGGCTTTCGAGGAGTATATTAGTAGAAATGACAATGAAATTTATTTGGAAGATCACTTTCAAGTGTGACTTACGTGAGATAAATAGTTGTAAATAATGGTGGAATGTTAGCTTAAAATGTGAGCTTGTGAAGTGGAGTTGAATTTAGAATTTGGTTGTGTTTAAGAGGATGTTGAAATGTAAAAAATAAGACTAGGTCCAATTGTTCCCTATTTGGACTGATGGAAACATGGAATTGTTTTGAAGGGTTTTAAGATTTTTTGGTTGTTAGTTTATCAGTCTTATAGAATGCTTATAAAGTAGAGGAAAAGTTGTGAATAGAGTTGAGTAACTGTTTAAGAAGATTTGTAAGTAACATAAAAAAAAGATAACTATCTAATTTCACCAAAAAAAAGACATTTAAAGCCTCCAAATACTAAGAAAATGGAGAGAACTCCTTCACATAATTATTTTTTTCCGAAATTGAAAATTAAAATCATATTATCTTATATTTATTGTAATTACCAAACTAATATTTGGAGAGAAAAAAAGAAAAAAAGGGAGAGAGAGGGGATTAGTTGGGCATTAAAGAGGAGTTTCAACTACCCTTTTTTTAATGTCTCATCCTTAACCATTTCATTGCTAACCGCATAAGTTTCTAGATGAAAGCAAAAGTATAAATTAAATTTAAAATATTTAAAATTATGGATTTTTTATTAGACTTTTGTAATTTGGTCTTTACTTTAATCATTTTGTTGGCTTTGGTCTTAGCTCTCTAATTGGACTTTTAATTTAATTATCTTTACCAACATAATGTGATACATCACCCAGTGCCTCAAATGTTGTTAACACCTGAGTTAAGTGGATTTTGTCACCCGGCGAGCCCAACAAGAGTGAGAATAGCGACTCTTTGGTGCCACCATTCCTTGAGAAGCTAGGGTCTTCTCCATAGCAGGTTCCTTGTTTTGCTTGATGGTAGTCTCCACAGCCAACTCGGCCTTTGCTGATCGCTTTTCCATAGTAAAGGATCAACATTAAAGAAGCTCTTATCCAAGCAATTTATAGGAATGTTTAATACGTTTTGTGAAGGATAGTCATCTTAGTGTACAAGCTTGGTGCCCATTGCGTTAATACCGATGTGTCAAAGTTTCTTGAGGAATGGCACATAATAGGCTTGCTATTGGAGGAGAATGCTCAACTACTAAACTTGATCATCTTCAAGGATTGCTAGTAATTCATTTCTTTTTTAGTTGAAGCATTCAAATTGGCTCCTACCAAAGGCCATTACAACCTTCGTGGAGGTTACCTATTTTTTAACTGCAGCCTTTACTGGTTGCCCTAGGAGAAATCACTTTGTTAACCTCATGTTCAAGGGAAAGTCCTCAGAATGAGTGTGTCACTCTCCATGGACTCTTAACAATCATTGACCCCAATAGTCGGTTATGGGTGCCCGCAATATTAGACGTCATAGTTTTAGTTTCCTTCGCTACACCTGTTTCCACCTTTATTCTTTTTGCAGGAGTCATAGGTCCAATGTATCCTTGAACTGTTTCGGGATCAGCATCGACACCTTTCTCATTACTTGCTGAAGGGCCAATCGCCCTCTTCTTAGTTCTGTCCCCTTTAGAGAAATGAATCGCCACCCTCTACACAAGTATCATACTGTACATTACAAGTTTTGTGTGGTCCATTTTATCACAGTCACCGCATGCTACGATTTAACTAAATGTTTAAGAGACTGAGGAGTTCATGCATGAGGCCACTTCTTATAGGAGTTGGTATGAGTGGCGTCACATCACTGTCATCATGGGAAATTTATGTGAAAATCGTGGCTACATCAAAACATAACATTGACTTTGCATTTACTTTAACTAGTTAGTGGCCATGTTAAGTGCACACCATTAGTTCACTTGTTATTTTTTATGCTTCACCTTTATAGGATGAAGTGAATTGCGGAATTCAATGGACACTAATATACATATTTTCAAGTATTTAATAGGTATCTTCCAGGTACCTTTTGGACCTCGGGAATGACCACTTGCTCCAGGGTCACCAATCTCCAACTTTGCAAAATAGTCAAAGGGGAGTTGACTCTCACTGAAAAGCCAAGGGTTCATACATACCAATCAGATCAGGATTTGCTCCTTGGCAAGAAGCACCCACTAAAGACACTCATCGCTACCTAGGGTAGAATGTCATTAATAATATCCATCATCCAGTAGCATTAAAGGATTTTCTTAAGAGGTTACTGCTCATTTCATCACAATCAGTTGACCATGGAGTCTATTTTACCTGCAACTTGAATCGACTTGCCTCTCACATTGAAGCAATTTAGAAATCCATCAAAAGGGCCGCTATTGATTTTACAGTGCTTATTTGCCATAGCTTTCTCAGTTTTGACCTCACCAGCAGACTTGCTTACGTTTACTTGGCAGCAATGATGCACCGAAACTTTTCCTTAAGGAGGTATGTAGTATATGACGCGTCTCAGAAACGACACACATCAAACACTTGTTGGAAACATTTCACATCCGAGATGTGTCCAATTAAAAGAAGCATTAAAAATAAATTCAAAGTGTGTGCTTGACACAATGTCTTAAATATTTTATGATTTTTTTAAATATATTTTTTGTTTTTCAAAATTTATTTATTATAAAAGATAAAAAATAAATTTCTCATTTTCTCTACACAGCTTCATATTAATTTTTTGCACTCATTCTACCATTCCCCACACATTTTCATTTCATTCTCTGGTCGGTCGCGGTTAGGGTTATACAATGCTCTTTGCTATCCCAACATCGATGTCTAATACTGTCACAACATAAGCATTTCAAAATCATCTCAACTTCAATGTTTAATGTGATCTTGACATTGACGCTCGACACCATCAATTTCTACACCCACAGTCATACCCTGCTCTATCTTGACATTTCACCTTGTCCAACACCGTCTCAACATTAACGGCCGACGTGGTTTTGACATCTCAATATCGGCGTTTGATGCTCATTGTCATTGCATAACATTGATGCTTGAATTTCAACAACATTGTGTTTCCACTCTCGATGCCTAACATACGACATCGACCGGACTTTTGACATTCTAATATTTATTATTTTAAGCATAAATTATAATTATATAAAATATTATTTTTCAATTATTTTTAATATTCTACTTATTTAATTTTTATACATTATTTTAAAGATATAAAAATTATAATGTCATGTCTAACTCGTACATGTGTCGTATATTTTTAATAATTAATGAATCTCATGCTTGTTCTTATCATGTTGTTTCTATGTTGCCTTGTTTGTGTCTGCGCATCATGGCTTGCCTGCATGCACTTGGTATAAGGGAACTTGTCTCAAAATAGAGGGGTCAAAATAAGAGATGTAACCATTCACTTGGCCAGCTAGAGCTTGGCACTTTTCTAGGGAAGTCCATACCATGGGTCATTAATAAATGTACTTTTGACTATTTTTTGAAGTAATATTTTCTATAGCTCTTAGATCCCTATAAATAAAGAATGAAAAGGAATATTTTACATGTTTTGGCATTTTTTTAAAGAGTTTTTGAGCTAGTGAAATACTTTCTACAAAACTCTCCCTTACTCTTCTCATTCCTTCATAAGTTCTCAATTCATAACCTTCTAGGCTTGTCTTCTGGTAAGGTTGGTTGTTACCCATAAATAAATTTAGATTCAATAAAAGATTTTGATTTCTTAGTCCTTAAAAAGATTGTTCTTTTCAGTTGATGTTGGAAGTTGCAGGTTTCATCTGAGATCTATCTTTTATTTCAGACCACTTGATTTTGTCATGAATTGAGTTCTTCTGTTGGTTTATATGGTTTTCTATAATGGTATTGATTGAGGGAGGATCCATTCATTTATTGTTGCTTAAAATGTTCTTATCAACATTTATTTGCTGATATTTGAAATTAACCATAAGCCAACAAAGTTCATCTGTTAGGCTTATATTGTGAACATTTTCTATACTGTGGCCCAGGGAATATTTAGATTCTGTCGAAGAAACAACTTTTCCAATCATAGATTACCATCACTGGCTACACTGGCAAGGGTTGAGTCTAATGAGTCCGACTATAGAAGTTTGGGCACTCCTCTTGAACTATGCACACCCGAGGGTAAATTCTTGTGTGATATATTGAAGAATCAGCCCCATATTTTTCAAGCTGCTGCACAAAAACAGCTGGAGGAATTGGCTTTTGAGAGAGAGAGTGCATTTGCTCGATGGGAAATTAGTCAAGGTTCCTCTGAGTCCAGTCTTCATGGGTTAGTTTGTTTCCCTGTTAAACTCTTGCCATTCTTTTTTTTTTTTCCTACGAAAATTCTGTTACCACTGCTTTTGAGAGGAATATTGTTCTTTTACCCATGACAGTTAGCATGCATATTAGCTTACACAACACAGGCATGAAAGTGCATCTGTCCATGCGCTTGCAGATAAATTATTTTTAACTTATGCTGTTTGTTTTAGTGATTTTTTCACAATTTAATGATTTTGTTTGGTTCATAACTACATTTATAGATGCAAAAGCTGTTTTACAAGCACACATTCGGTTTTTCTAAGAATTGCCTAATTGAAGCTCCTTCTTAAGCTTCGTTTGGGACGGTTTTTTAATACTTCTTAAAACAACTTTTCAGTGCAAAAAACCGCTTTAAGAAGCAGTAAGAAAGCCGTCCCAAATGAAGTCTTAATTGTTGTTGTATCTTACACGAAATATTTAATGCTAGTTTTCTTTTTTAATTTCTATGAAATGTGCAAATGAATTATTTGGATGATAAATGTTTAATTTTATATGTATATGAACTAGCTGAATCTCTTGCAAGGTTGAAAATTGTTAAGCTTGCTGGATTATCTATTAACTTACAAAATTAACAGCCAATAAACTTCTGCACTGGAACAAACGACATTTAAATTTAATTACTCATACAGTGCTCATGGGTTGCGGGGCTATTTAACTAATATTTGGTCTTTAGTAATCCCCAATAACGAAGACACCTCACCAAGCCACCTATCTCGAGCAATGTATACTACTAGATGATGATTGAAAACAATAACAGGTGAATGGTTGTTGAGATAGAGAGATTTTTTTTTAATGCTTCCTCAGTAATTCTAATAATAGTCGATTCTTTCCATTAAAACACTCATAAATGAGTAATAGACAAATCAATCAATTTAATAACGTACCAAATACTTGAACTATGTTCATGTAATAAATTCATATAAGCCAGTGATGAATATTCACAGGAGTACTACTTCCTGAATTCTACATCTTGATAATTGTTGCACTCAGTTCAAGCAATAACACTTATCTCTTTTAGTTTGCCTAGGAAAATATAAAATTAGGAAGGTGCCTTATATTTGACGAGAGATGTATGTTTATTTGATTGTATAATAGATCATTGTATGCATTCCTCTATTACTAATAGAGAGACTCTCTGGTGAATAAGACAGATAATAATGATATTTTTTCTAACATGTATCTGAGTGAGGTGGGCTAAGGTAAACCTAGCTGTCGCCCACTTTCCTACTCTAGTCACCTTTCCCATTGCATCTAAGCTTTCCATGTGAATACTCATCAATGCCCAAGCATACCCAGTCCATCAACTTGCACACCGTTGCCTTCACGAGCACTTTACCATCATCATAAACTTATAGGACGTCCTCAACACCGTAGCACTCATAAGCCCTCATTGCATGCGTATGCTGTTGTCTTCGCATCACGGAATGCTACTTCTACTGCTATGGCATCACTGCTGCATGTGATCTTGTTAGCAACCAATCTTGCACATTTGTTTCTTACCACATCTCTTTGTTATTTCCATAAATCTATGATTTCTTAAACTCCTCCCTTCATTTTTCTTTATTGTTGGCCTTGTTTATTCATGGCTTGCTCTACACCTCCCTCAAGCTGGAGCTTGTATCAAGAATTTGTATGTCAGTCAAATTCAATGGTATTCAGTATCTCCTATGGTCTTGGGCGTTATATTCTTTATGGGATTTCATGAAAAAATTAGTCATGGCACTTTTCCTTCAGAACAAACTGACGCTACTAAAGATATCAAATGCCAAGCTTCCTAATGTACTGTTCTCACATGAATGCTCTATATCCTTGAACCCATTAAGTCTATTGCTCTGTTTAAAGATACAAACAAAAACATGTGAGACTTTCTTCATTCTACCAATTTCATGACAGCGTCTCTTTGGACAAAAACAAGGCTCGCACTTGACACTACAACAAAATCCACCAAGTTGCTAAGTCGTATCCTTCAATATCATCAACATTTTCATGTGCCTCTATTGGCTGGAATGATCTATAGAGGAAAATGAGGAACACCCTCATGATAAGTGCATGCATAAAATTTGAAAGATATATGAAATGACACAAACTTGCATCATCAATTCCACACTTGATGATTATGACATGTTTAATGCTCAACCTTTTCTGCGGACAGAGTTGTCCACGCTCTGACTTGTCAGCAGCAATTTTGCTATTCCAAAATTTACATTATGATATGAGTGCATAGTAAAAATTCAAATGAAGTAGCAAAAATTCATTACCCTTAGCGGTTAGCATAAATTTATCGTTTTCTCTATTCAACAAAAGCTTTAAAGTGCAACATAACATCAATTCATGAAATGTTCCACTATGTATATTCTCAGCTAAATTAATTTCAGGTCTGCGAAGACAGGATGGGAATAATAAATTTTCATTCAATTGATGATGGCAATGGATCATGTCAACTAGGATATAGAGAATGTGGAAGAGTGTAAAGATTTTTCATTCAATTGATGATGACTAATGTGTGTATGCCTTATTGAAATGCAAAATACAAGAATTTTTTCTGAAAACTAAGGATGAAAGATGAATTCTTCCCTTGATATGTGCAACCTCAATGAGAAGCACTATCAAGATAGTCCCTCCATGCCATGACTAGGGTGCAAAATGTGGCCATTAAAAGAGAAGTATAAAATTAAGTAAAGTGTGATAGAGATAAGGATGCTTAGGTGGATGAGTGGCTTCACTCTTATAGATAAAATGCGAAATGACTATATATTTGAAAAGATTGTAGTAGCTCTAGTGGCAGATAAGATTAGAGAGTCTCCTTAGATGGTTTGATTACATAAAATGTTGGCCTTATGATGATCTAGTTAGGAGAATAGATATATTAGATTTTTGACCTATCTTAAGAAATACTGAAGTAGACCAAAAAAGACTTGATTAGAAAATATTAGAAATGACTTATTTTTATTAGATCTAAAATTCTAAATGAGAATTTAACTCTTAACATGACAAAATGAAGAAAAAAGGGATTCATGTAGACGACCCACATAGTGGGATAAAGGCTTGATGTCGTCGTCATTGTTGTAGAATGCAATCTATGTGTCTTCCTTTCCTTTTCTAGCTTTGATTTATTTTCATTATAATACTTTTGAAAAAGTTTAAATTTTAATTAATTAATTAATTTATTTAAATTTATCTTTTTTTATATTTTATTTTCTCCTTTTTTATATTATATCAGTGCGAGATTAGGGTTTCATTCTTCCAACCTTTGTTCTCTTTTCTTTTCCTTATTTTTTGTTGGATTCTTCGTTCTCTTTATGATATTTTGTTTCTTGCAATTCCCTTCCAAAGAGTCAACCATCATGATGTTACGCCGGCCCATCCTGGGCCGGCTGGACCGGTCAGGACCTACTCCCGGCGGAAGAAACCTAGCCAGGAGCTGGGCGGAAACCCCTAGGGGGCCCACTTGATGTATTTTGAGTTTTGGGAGGGAATTTTTGAATGTGAGGGGGGATTAGGTAATTTGTAATCTTCCTTTCATGATAAATTAGGAGGAATAGGGGGGAGAAGGATTATCTTGAATTTGAATCTTATTTGAGATCTAGGGTTTGTGTTCTTGGGCTCTAGGCTACGGCTAGAGATTTGGAGAGTTTTTACTTCCTCTCGAATTGAAGGAAAGTTGTATCTTGCAAGTGCTTTTCATCCGTTATCGAAATAAAAGTGTTTGCATCGTTTTCCTACGTTTTCCTCTCAGATTTTTCTTGTATTTTGGCTGTTTTTCTGCTGTGGACAGCAGTTTTCCCTTGGATCTACTTGATCTTGGTGAGAAACACTTGGAAATCCAAGTGTTTCCTATCACATGAATGGTGAAAATTAGACTAAAGAGGAACTTCAACGACTAAAAGTCACATATTAATTGAATGGAAAAAACTACATTAAATGATCTCAAATTGTGATACCTTTCTAAAAGAAACGAGGAAGATCCATTATCTTATGGATTCTTCTTTGGTGCTAAAGGAACTAAAGTTTATACTTTAGGATGAAAGTTTCATAATCATGACAGGGGTTTGGAATATAATTATGCCTAAAATCAATAGTTTTTTATGCTCCTATCTACCTTAAAAAAAGTTTGGCATGCCATCAAAAAAATGTGCTGAAATGTAAAGGATGCTGCTCTCTTTAGCGAGATAAAAATTGACATATGAATAACCAAATACAATAACCTTCTTGTTATTTTATACTTTAACGTAATAAATGTTTATTAGCTTGAACTGTATTATTATGATGATATCGAGATGACATGTTGCATGATGTAGTAATTCTCAAGAAATTTATAGGAAGAGAAAGGGTGTTTGAGTTTGTTACAGAACTCAATAATGACTTTGACCAAATTCAGGTTCAAATTTTTAATAGAGAAAATCTTCCATCATTAAATCAGGTTTTCTCTCTCATAAGAGCAATAGAAGAAAGAAGACCAATAATGTGCGATGCTGTTGTCTTTAAATATTTGCCATGACAACAATCAAATTCAAAGGTAAGGGACTTACTACAAACTCTTCCGTTATAGAAGGATTAAAGCCTTCTTCCAAAGGAAATCAAAGGTGTAACTATGCAATAAATGATTAATCAAAGAAAAGTTCTAGTAAGAGAAAGCCTTCATGATATAAGGGAAACTGTGACAGTTACCAAAAAAGGCATGACTATCTTGTGAAATCAGAAGGGTTCAACCTAGAGGAAATTGGCAAACTCAAGAATCTGAACTCTTTAAAAAAATCATTTGGATCATGCTCTCTAGCTTAAAATGATGTGATTTTTTAACTTTTGTATTTTAGTGCCTTAAATAAATTTTTTCATACCTAGATTTTAGATTATGGAGCCTTTAACCACATGATCAACCTTGCCAATCTATTTTAAACCTTCGAATCCTGCCATAATTAAGGCAATATTTCAAATTCTTTCTCATTTACCCGCATTTATGTTTTGCAT